TACTGCCTCCCCTTTATTCCTGCTGTGCTTTGTGCCATTGCAACGTAATTTCATGCAAATCCAAATGACAAATAAAGTCTGTCTAAGTCTAATAAGGGAATAAAGTTTTGTTCTTCGTCTTTATTTTTGGTTGACATTTTAGGTTTGGGAGGATATTTCTAATTTTGTTTTTAATATCTGTGGGGATTTCTGTCTGTAATGTGTTGTTTTAAATGCCTACAAATAAACAATTTAACTCTCTTAATAGACAAACATTGTATAGATGCTAGTTTCTCTCTTTTCTAATAAGAATTTGAATAGAAATACTGAATCTTTTGTTACCAATAAAGGCTTTTATCTCTCTTTAACACATTGTTTAAATAATTGTCATGCACTATTCTTGTTGTCTAGTCGTGTTTCTTTAACATTGTATTATGTTTTTACGCACTTTTGTATTCACTGATATTTTCAAATAAAGTTTTGTTTTTTAAAATCTTCTAAATCTGTTTATTGTGGTCATACTTTATAGACTAGTAGAAGACGATGAAACAGTAGCTCATGAGGATTTTTAAATCATGAAAGCAATAAAACATTCTCAAAGATAGTTTTCTATTCCAATACCAAACACACTGTAAATGTTGTGTCAGTTGTTTGATTCTCATCAGAATTATCCCATATACATCTATTATGTTTTGTTTATTTGTATTTTATTTATCTATTTATATTTCATTTGGTCGATTTTAAAGATTCCCTTCAGACATGTTTAAATACATATACAAACAGTCTGCAACAATAATGTGTATCGGATGTCTCCTGCTTCACTGTAAAGTCCATTCTCAGTCTTTGTGCACTGGTGGCTTCAGGTTTCTATATCACACTTGTATAAGTTGGAAATTGAACCAGGGTTGTCTTCCAAAGTATTTGGGATTTCACAAATCATGCCCCTTAAAATCTGATTTTCAGTGAGCACAGAGAAACTTTAATGTGAAAACTTATAGTGTCAAACTCTACACATACACCATCCTGCACAGTGAAGATCAAACATCCAACTGTAGGAACATATTTTTAACTAGAGGGGGACTTTAAATGTTATTGTAATGCATTTCTTCACCTTATATAAAACACTTTGAGCTGCCAACACAAAATTTAACTAATTATCTAAAATGGTTATGGATAACATAAATTATACCAACAGAACTGGAGGAGTCCATAAATATAAAAGGCCACTATTACTCTAAAAGTACGATTACGCCTCACCTCAACCTGCCAGACAGCCCTGTATTGTAAAAATACATAATAAGATAACATTTAGTAAAAATTGGGACGATTAGCAGGATCACTTTTTTCTTAAATACCGTAAAACTTCTAATAATAGCCCGGGCGTTTATTTGCTTAAATCACTGAACTTTACTTGGGACAGGAGTCTGTTTGGGACAGGCGCTTAATTCCTTTAGCACAAAACTAAACTAAACTCTAACTGTTGCTTCTC